ACTACAGAATTTTTACTTAACTGAAAAATCATTTAATAGAATTTCTAATTGATAGAATTTACAATTTGTCCGAATTTACAAATCACCGAACACACAATCGACAGAAAGATGAAAATTCGGGCAAATAAAAATTCGAAGAAATAAAAATTCTGTGAAGTGAATTTTCAGTTATATAAAATTTCTGTAATATAGAAAATCGCTTTAATGTAAATTATGCAAAATTCTATTTTAAACAAATAAAAATTTAACTCAAAACTAATTAGAACAAATAAAATTTGATAAAATGTAAATTATGACTAATGATTTTTAGAACATAATCATGCGTCCTGAATTTTTTTTTCTTTAATATGTTTAAAGTTGCTGTAAATCATTTTTTATAAATTGTTTTTTAATTCTAGTTTTTAAAATAATTATCGATCACTTCGAATTGGGATAATATTTTTTTTCTATTTTTTTAATTCTAATTTTTTTTTTTTTTTTTTGAAATTCAAAAAAGAAAATAAAATTTCAATTTGCAACTATAAAGTTTCTAAGCTTCAACTTGTACGTCCTGAGATTTAGAACATCTGCGATAGGAACTAACAACTTGGTTTACCACAAGTGCTTTTTGGGTAGTATGTAGGTACTACGCAAGTTACTTTGCCTCAAGTTTCCTCTTTAACACTTCAGTAAGCATAATTTAACCACAAACCGAATATATCAACATTATTTAATATTATAGATTTTCTAATTGAAATTTATTGATTTTATTACCTCAATTTCTAAACATAATAATTATAATAATAATAATAATAATAATAATAATAATAATAATAATAATAATAATAAAATTAATAAAAATAAAAATTGTTAACATTAAATTTTGATTTTCGCTTTTTTTTCTTGTGTCGAGAATATAATGTTGAATGTTCATTATGGAACTAAATGTATATGACATGGGATGCGAGTACAAACAAGTACATACAACCACAAGTGGAGATGTAGAGAGGTTCACTATAGTGCTTCCGGACTTGAATGTCAAAGCCCTAAGTGAAGTATCGTCTTGCTTTGATCACAATTATGGATTATGATAATTTTACAATCATAGCAATAAGTAGCTAATTTACATACAAAGAGAACCGGAAAAATTTCAATTATCTTAAAAGATTCACTTATTTTTTTTTTTTTTTTTTCAAATAATCGATATTCAAGAATCAAATTTTTAATAATTATTAATAGCCTAATTCGCTTTACAAGTATTTTCTGTAAGAATTAATAATTAAATATATTAATTTGGATATAATAATAAATTAATTAACAAAATAATTTAATTCAATGGATATTCTAGTAAATAATTAAAATATTAATTAATTAAATTATTGAAAACAATTGACATTTAAATTAAAAAGAAAGTACAATTTAAGTTTAAATAGAAAAAAAAACGTTTTCGATACACAAAAGCTTTCAGATCAAAAAGCTTTTGATTTAAACGTGACCAACCGATGAAAAGCACTTAATTTCCAAAGCATTTGTATAACGCACAACCTCTTTTAATTTACATATTATTTAAATTCCCATAGTTTTAATTAAAAAGCTTTTAAAACTAAACTTGAATGATTTGTAAAATTTTTTTTTATATATATATATATTAAAATTTTTTTTTTCAACAAAATTAATTAATTTTTTTTTTATTATTCACCGAATATATTTTGTATTAAATAGAAAAAAAAACCTAGGCATAATTGACTTTGTAATCTTTTGTTTTACAAAAGAAAAAAAAAGAAATTATTATATATTGCTGAAAGTGAAAAATAAAATTTTATATTTTACTACCTCCTATAAAAATACTTTTTTTTACAATCTTCTCTTCTATAAAAAAAGAAAACATTATTTTCTGTATCCAATCAACACGTGACGATTATAGTCTTTACCACTGGGAGTAATATGTACACGTACTATGTACACAAAAAAAAAAAAAAAAAAAAAACCAAGAGGCTGGTATAATAAGCTTGAGAAAAAGGTTCTTATATCATAGATTCGTTAATTAATCACAAAGTTGATAATTTTTTTTTTATTTTAGTTTGTTATTAAATAAAGACTTAATTTTTTTAATTTTAATATATCTTCCTATATTACAAAAAGATATCGCTGCCTCCGCCGCCGCCGCTGTTTCAAGAATTCTTGACCTAGGAGGGGGGAGTCCCCCCTCCTAAATTTTGAGGTTATGTTCGTTTCAAGGCTCTGAATTTAGCCGCAAGTCCGCCTCCCTCCTCTCATTTCCCCTCCTCCGTCAAAAATGACCTAAATTTTGAGGTTATGTTCGTTTCAAGACTCTGAATATAGCCGCAAGTCCCCTCCCCCGCCAGAAATGACCTAATTTTGAGGTTATGTTCGTTTCAAGGCTCTGAATATAGCCGCAAGTCCCCCTCCCTCCTCTCATTTCACCTCCTCCATCAAAAATGACCTAAATTTTGAGGTTATGTTCGTTTCAAGGCTCTGAATATAGCCGCAAGTTCTTCCCCCTTCCCTCATATCTCTCTGTATTTCCCGCCAAAAATAGGGGGGTTGGCGCGCGAAGCGCGCAGGGGGGCGTAGCCCCTCTAGTATATATATATATATGATGCATTGTTTGGCAAATGAAGCCCCCTTCTGCTCAACAATAGTTTAAATATATAGAAAATCGGGCATAGGCTTATTACTTCAATTTAAAATAAATACTTTTCGATGTCGTGTGGCGTTTTTGAAAATTCAAAATGGCGGATCTAATATGGCGACTAACTTTTATAAAATTCACTTGAAAATTGCTACTCGGGGTTTTTTGGGTCGCTGATTACGAATCCGATGATAGTTTTCAAATTCAAAATGGCGGAACCAAAATATGGTGAATAAATATTATAAAATTTATTAAATGCATTTGAAAATTGCAACTCGGGATTTTTTGGGGTCGCTGATTACGAGTCTGATGATAGTTTTCAAAAATTCAAAATGGCGAATCCAATATCGTGTCAAAATTGATGGCAAATGGTTCCTCAAGCAAAAACATCTATTACTTCTAGATTAACACCAGATTCGTAATCAGCGACCCTAAAAACCCCCGAGTGGCAATTTTCAAGGGAATTTAATTAATTTTCTAAAATTTAGTCGCCATATTGGATCCGCCATTTTGAATTTTTGAAAAAAATCATCGGATTTGTAATCAGCGACTCCAAAAACCCCCAAGTGGCAATTTTCAAGGGAATTTAATTAATTTTATAAAATTTAGTCGCCATATTGGATCCGCCATTTTGAATTTTTGAAAAATATCATCGGATTTGTAATCACCTACCCCAAAAATCCCCGAGTAGCAATTTTCAAGTGAAATTAATTAATTTTATAAAATTTAGTCGCCATATTAGATCCGCCATTTTAAATTTTCAAAAATGCCACACGACATCGAAAAGTACTAGTTTTTTATTGAAGGAATAAGCCTATGCTCGATTTTCTATATTTAAAGTATTTTTGGGCAGAAGGGGGCTTCAGTTGACAATGAATGCCTCATAAAGTAATTAAATAAAAATTAATCTACAATATTTTTTTCTATAAATATATAATTGAATTTTCCTACTATTGAAATTATAAAGGAATTTTCTTTTTTTCCGTTTTTGTTTTTTTTTTTGTTTTTTTTTTTTTTGCAAAGATAATCAACTGGTATAATGGGCCGTGAACTTGCTTTTTCTAAATGACATTGCTCTCAGCTTCGAAATGAATATCTTCGAAAGCACGAGAAATACTCCAAAGCACAGAGCTTTAAACAGACATTCTTTTCCTCTTAGAATGCAATCATTCGTGAAATGTTGAAAATTCCAAAATAACAATACAGAAACGTTCAAATAATCACATTAAAAAAAATTCACAAAAAAAACATTATATTTATAATAATTATTTTAAATTATAAATTATAAAATTATAGAAAGATTAAAAAAAAATTTATTAAAAAAATATTTTTAAATGAAAATTTGTGATGAAAAAGCACTGATTAGAAATGATAAATGATAGAAGCGTGGGATTTTTTTTTTTTTTTTTTTCATCAATTCGTTTTAGTTTGATAACGAAGTATTATTCGTAAATTTCTGTTCGTGTGGACTTGGCAGAATTCTGAGAGGAAGTCAGATCATAAACCAGTTGGTTTCTACATTTTACGATCTAAGGCTGTCTTCTGCCATTCTATCAGGATACTTCGGATCCCACTCCAAAACACTTCCTCACTTTCATGGACCGAAACGGAAGCTGAGGTTTCAAGAGGCACTTGCTATTATCTTCATGAGTCACGAATACACACAAGAAAGCAAACCCTTAATTTATATTATCTAAACTTTCATTAAATTAATTTAAATTGTTCAAAAAAATTTTTTTTCCCAATTTTTTATTTCTATTTTCAAACTATATATATATATATATATTTTTTTTTATAATAATTAATATTATTTTTATAAAAGATAAATAAATTTCATTATAAAGAAAGAAGAGAAAAATTTGTTTCAAAATTTTTATGATATTAATTAAGTAACATTTAAGCCTTTAATAAAATGGTTAAAATATATAAAAAAAAAAAAAAAACACAAAAATTATATAGTGTGATGAATAATAATTTTCGAGTAAGAGTTTCAGATAAAATATATACTCTCGTGCGACTTGTTAACTGCTTTGCGTCACGTTTATATATATATATAAATATATGTGGTTTACTTAACATAAAAGCAAACTACCTATGAGATTTAATTATTTATCTTAATTATACAGTATAAAGCATGTTGTAAACATGATTTGTTTGGAACTTGTATGAAATTATAATGTTTATAATAATGGTTTCCTGTTTTCCAAAATGATTCCTTTTTTTTCTTTTCTATTTTAATTAATTTTTTTTAAATAGTTATTTATACCTAGTATATATTTATTTATAAAATCTCATTTAATTAGGAACATACTTTTTTCAATTTTTTTTTTATTAGAACCTTTTTTTTATTGTAGAGAAGTTTAAATTACAATAAAATTGAAAATTTGTTCTGCTTACTAAGAAACTTTCTTTTTTTTTACTGTTAGTAAAAATTAAAAAAATATTGAAACATTTAGTCTCTGACAATGTTTATACAGGTTCGCAAATTCTTCTATCTGCGTCTATTTTACACACATATTGATCGGGATCTTCACTGATTTGTGTTACGCATTCATCTGTAAAAATTGAATATAATAATATAATCATAAAATTTATAACTTTGAGAATAATTTTAAAATAAAAATACATCCTAAATGTTAATATATATATATATATATTCTCAAACTTGGAAAATGATTTAAATGTTAAGTAAATTTAGAACGTATATTAATCAATTGTATATATTATTTCAAAATAATATAAATTATAATTTTTTTAGAATCCTATTATATATACTTACTAAGGCATTCTTTAAATATTATATCCAAATTAAAATTTGCTAGTCGTACACATTCTATATATTCTGATTTCTTAGTGCATTTATCTATAATAAAATAAATATGTCATTTATAATATAAGTGACAAATTATCAATTTTCTGTTTAATATAATTTTATAATTTTATAAATTTATAATTTAAAATAATTTTAAAAAAAATAAAATAAAAATAGTATGCAATACAAACTTACTGGCTGCAACTAATTTATCACTATAAACGAGCTGACCTGAAAATATAAATTTAAAAAATATATTATTGGAATATCACTACGATAAATTACATAATCTTCAAAAGTAATAATAAATAACAAATGTAAAAATACAATAAAGTGTTTATAATATAAAAACTTACCTAAATGACCAATTGATATAAACTGACTAAAATTATCATCATCACTGTATTGTTGGGGATATGATTTAGAGAAATAAAAAATATTACATATAAAGAATAAAAATACTACGGTACGCATATTTTCAATATTGAAAAAAAAATTTAACTACGTTATATTTGTTGGAACATATTTATATATATATATATATATATATATATATATATATATAGCATGAACAATGAAAATTTATGTTAATAAGTTTCTAAACAAATCAATTTTAATTAAAAAATAATATATGCGGTTACATATTCCTCTGATAACTCCTATGAATACAATATAATATTTGTAATACAATATATTGAAATAATCTACATAATAGAACAATATTGTTGATATATTTAAACAAAACAAATTTAACATAATGAATTTGATAAAAAATACACACGCATTATTTTATAATAAAAATGTTTTATTTTCCATTAAATATTATTAATATTTCATATTTTTAATATTTTTGCGTCAAATGTCTGACGTTATGGAAATATTAAAATAATGCTTAGAAGAAGAAAATAATATAATTATTAATATTAATTAATTAGTAGGTATTATCACACAAATTTAAAAGTATCAAATTCAGAGAAAATTATAAGGTATTAAAATAAGCTGCAACGCTTATTATTTTAATCCAATTTTGCTTATTTTAATACATTTTGGTATTAAAATAAACAAAATTGGATTAAAATAATAAGCGTTGTAGCTTATTTTAATACCTTCCCAAGAAGCACGTAATATATCCTCAATATCAAGGTAATATTACACGTGAGATTCGTAATATAACGCTGTAATATTACAGTAATCTTACAGTGATCTTAAAATGTCCGCCTCAAGGTAATATTACCGCGAATATTACTGTAATATTAACGGTAATATTACAGTAATATTACAAACTGATTTGAATTATTCATAAAGCATAAAAAACGTAAATATATTATAAGTCAATTTGGCTTGTTGGTAAAACTCTGGACTCGTGTGCTTTGAGTTCGGGGTTCGATTCCCTGGATGGGTAGATTTTTTTCGTAAAGAAATATTCCCATAATATTACTGTAATATTCTCTTGTAATATTACGGTATAATATTACTGCAATATTACTGTAATATTACCTTAATATTACAGTATAATATTACTGAAATATTACTGTAATATTACCTTAATATTAGCGCGTAATATTACAGTAACATTACCGGTAATATTACCTTGAGGCGGACATTTTAAGATCACTGTAAGATTACTGTAATATTACAACGTTATATTACGAATCTTACATGTAATATTACCTTGATATTGAGGTTATATTACGTGCTTCTTGGGTTATAATTTTCTGTGATTGATACCAAAAATATCAAATTGATACAAATTTTTATATCAATTTGATATTTTTGGTATCAATTTGATACTTTTAAATTAGTGTGATTATATATTATAAATATATATATATATATATATATATATATATATATATATATATATATATATATATATATTATAAATAAATAATATTAATAATTTTACAATAAATAAGTGAGTAAAAAAATTTTTTTTTGGTTTTTTTTATATATGCAAAAATATGTAAATGATGAATAGACACTTTATTTTCGATATATATATATATATACATACAGACTCATTTAACTCAAAGTGCTGTCAAGATGAAAAAATTTGTGATATAAAAGGTTTTGTTATCATGGGAATACAATCGATAAGCCATCATTATCTAGACTAAAGTGTCTGAGGTTGTGTGACCTCTCGCTTTTCCTTTTATTTCAAGAATATATATATATATATATAATACACTATTGCGTTAGGATACGATAAAGTGCGGACACTTTTCCTTTTCCTTTTTTTTTCTTTTTTTCTTTTTGGCTTCTTTCACTTCTTTCGCATTGATCGCTTCAATTTAAGTATCACCCTTGCCTATAAAAATCCAACCATTTCACCGAGAAACGAATATTATTTTATCCCATTTTTCACACACTATTTTATACAACATATTATATAAAGAAATAATCTCTCCTACTATATATATATATATATATATATATATATATATATATATATATTAAATTACGATTATTATATATTTTTCTTCTCGAAAATTTCAAGAGATCATAAATTTTTATTTACTTTCAATTTTGATAAATTGTTTCTACCATTTACTAGCAATATAGAAAGAGATGCAATTTTCTTGAAAAATTGTGAAAGAAAATTTTTTTTTTCTTTTTCTAAAATGAAAGTGGAATATTTTGCAAAAAAAAAAAAATTTAATATTCTGCAAAATTTTAAAAAAAGAGAAAAAGTTTGTTAAATTAAAATTATTATTAAAAAAAAAAAAGCTAAATGAAATATTAAAGAAAAAAACAAATAACAGACATTATATTATATATTGTGAACACACGTGGGTCGAAATGAAATAAGGAAAAGAAAATAAAAAGTATAAATATATCAAAAAAATAAAAAGGATATACACAATAATAAGATTAAAAGCTTTTAGCTTTTGTGTTATATCAAATAAAAGGAATGTTGAGCAATTTTCTTTTTTTTTTTTTTTTTTGTTGAAGAAATGGGTTTCTAATGATAAGATCGGCAAATATCTAGAAATTTTTCGTAAATTCTTTTCAACAATCAGGTTATAAGTATATAACCTATTTTACATGTAAGGCTATCAATCTTAATTTTCTTTGGTAAAAAAAGAGAAATGATGAAAAAGAGAAAGAGAGAAAGAGAGAGAGAGAGAGAGAGAGAGAGAGAGAGAGAGAGAGAGAGAGAGAGAGAGAGAGAGAGAGAGAGAGAGAGACAAAAAATGACACTATTTATCAGTGCCACCAGACGTGTTACTACATTAATCACGAGAATTTCTAAGATCGTCAAGTTTAAGTGTTACACGTATAATTATCCATGAGACAAAAAACAGAATTACAAATTTTTTTATAATTTTATTATTTATGAACAAGGTGGAATTAAGTTTTTTGAAAAATTAATTTTTTTTTCTATTTCTCTTTTCTTTTCTTCATATTGAAAAATAATTTTCCAGAATTTCAAATTTTATTCTATTCTAATTTTAAGAGACAAAAAAAAATTTTACATAAGCGTAATTTAAATATTTTTTTCGTATAATAGCTTTTTATACCATATGTATATTTATCCAAAAAGGCTAAATTAGGAAAAGTACTAAGGATAACTAATTACTAATAACTAATAGCTAATAACTAATAGCTAATTACTAATAACTAATAGCTAATAACTAATAGCTAATTACTAATAACTAATAGCTAATAACTAATAACTAATAGCTAATAACTAATAGCTAATTACTAATTACTAATAACTAATAGATAATTACTAATAACTAATAACTAATAACTAATAACTAATAGCTAATAACTAATAACTAATAGCTAATAACTAATTACTAATAGCTAATAACTAATTACTAATAAATAATTACTAAATACTAATTTCTAATAACTAAGTACTAATAACTAATTACTTGTAACTAGGTACTAATAAGTAATTACTAAATACTAAGTACTGATAACTAATAACTAACTACTAATAATTAATATAATAATAATAATAATAATAATAATAATAATAATAATAATAATAATAATAATAATAATAATAATAATAATAACTAATTAATAGCAAAAGAAAAGAAACAAGTATAATAAAATATTAAAAATTTAATAATAAAAATTTAACGAAAACAATAAAAAAAATTGCTATTAATAGCTGTACCCCTATAATTTTTTTTGGGCGGGGGGGGGGGGCTTGCTGAATAATGTTCTGCAACCCTAATCATGAAAATCATCAAAGTACTAGCAATTAGTTATCCTCAGAAATCGTTGAAGGAGAGACTTTAAGGAAAACGAAACACTTTGGGTGCAAGTTCTCATTCAGTATTAAACTTCCTAAAGTTTCACGACTAACTTTCGTCCAGAAATGTGATCAGCTCTTCGCTCTTCTCTATATATATATGTATATATATATAGAGAGAGAGGTCCAGAACATGATTTCCCATACCAGTCATTTATACCAAGAAAATCGATTATTGGACATTATATTTGAACATTTCCTCTAGTGATATACTGGATTCCAATTTTTTTTTTCCTATTATTTTATTTTAAAATACAATTTTAATTTATTTTTATACACAAGTGAGAGAGAGAAAAAAAAACAATTTTTCGACATAATAAATTTCTGATGTGGAAAAATTGGAGGAATGGAAAAATGTCAGAAACATAATTTTTCACATTACTGGAAAAAAGGAATTACCCATATTTTATCCAATTTCCGTGTGTATATGTAGTAGGAACGTTTCAATAAAAGAGAATAGGTACAAAAAAAAACAATGTATTCTATGGATTGTAATTTTACTAAAAACTAAAATTGAAGAGTTAAACATTTCGTGTTTTTTTTTTTTACTTGTAAATTACAAGTTTAGGGGGCAATAAAAAAGACAATTTTTTTTCCACAAATAATTTTATGATTTTTTATCTATTTTTTAGTGCGCGAGTAAGAGAAGTACAATAATTGTAAAATTATCCCTTTTTGCTTCCTCGTGGAGGAAGCTTTGTAGTCCTTTCGTTTATAAAAATTTCCAAAATGTCTGAAACAAATTTTTCTCTATATAGAAACATGTTATATGACATCCTGATCAATTGTCCGGATGTATGTATGTGCGTGTATGTATGTGTGTGTGGATCCCCTTTTTTATTTAGAAGATAACTTTAACAGGTGTTAATGGATTTAGATAAAATTTGGTAGGCTCATTTATCATATTAATATCTCAAACCTGACCAAAAGATTTTAAAAAATACCAAAAAAAAAATTTTTATCGTCTTTTTTCCAAAAAATTTTTAAATAGAAAAATTTAAGGTTATATATAATAAAATCGTATTCCTTACGTTAAGACAAATCGATCGGTATATATAAAGTATAGTTCATTTATACTACTGAGAAAATTTGAAACATTTAGAATGTCTGGCTAAATATTTATTTGAACTACTGAAAAAATTTAGAAGTGTTTTAAAAGTATGACACAAGGTCAAGGTCAAGTCAAGGTCATTTAAAAGTCATTTAAAAGT